CTGAAGACTGAGCTATCACTCTGATCAAGGTGATGAAGAGAGGATTGAAACCTCAGACAATGAGGAGGATCTTGAGGCATGTGGCTGGAAGAAGGACATTCCAGCTAAAGGGCATAGCTTGAGCTGAAGTGTGGAATTAGCAATCTGCAGAGCACGTGCAGGTGGGAGTGAGCCATTGGGTTCATTGGAGGAATACACCGTGTGTGAGGAGAGAGGGAGACAAGGCTGAGTAGGCCAAAGGATCTGAACGTTATTTAGTACTCAGGCAACAGTCCATGCAATGATAAGAACTGTGACTTAAGGAGATAAACTAGATTTGGGTGGCAGAATGGATATGAACAAGAAAGAAAGGTAAGTAAGTTAAAACGCTCTTGCCCAAATATAAAATGTACCTGCTCCAAGAAATGGAGTAGAAGTTACTTCCCACCAGGACAAGGGTCCTTAATCTTTTGGAGGTCACGTACTCCTATTAGAATCTTTTGAAAGTTACAGCCCCTCACTTCAAATAATAGTACAGAGGACACACACACACACACAGATTAGCCTGCAATTTCATCTGCCCTTGAAGTCCATCCGTGGACTCAAATTTTAAAATCACTAATTTACTTCAACATGGTATTTCCATGCGAGCCAAGTATTTCTCGAGCAGACTGTGACATTCCTCAGTTCCTGGGAATCAGAATTAGCGCCAGTGTTTCTCATGACCTTCCATAGTTCCGCCAACTCCGGTGATCATGGTGGACTGAAGGAATGATCCTTTTTAAAAAAGAAAAAAAGAAAAATCTCTTTTTAGTCTCTTGACCTCCCTGCAGGTTTCACTGAAAATAGACACGTTCCACATGTCTTTTTCCTCTCTCTGTTGCCGCTCCCTCCTGTCGCCCCTAATGATTGTGACCTTCAGTGACCTTCCAGAATATCCATATGGCCCTTTTTTTCTCCTCAACCTAGCAACACCATACCTGCTGCATGCGGGTTTGGATCTCATAACATTGTTCCTAAGCCTGGCCTCTCTCCCCGCCTGGCATTGTGCGCCTGCCACGAGCCGGGGCTGGCTCGTAAAGCATCTCTTTATGTACTTTATTACTTAAACTCTTTTATTTGCCTGCAGGAGCTCTTTAACAAAATCACATTGAATTGACTTTCTCACACCAAATCAAATCTCCCTGGTCCCAGTTCAGTTGTCTTTGTCAATATGTATTTTATAAATGGAGTGAATTAACAGATGCTGCTGGAACAGAAGTGCTGGGGTAGCGTTTATGTTTTTAGTGCTCTCTCTGGGCAGATGAGTTGTGTAGCAGTGTTATACAGGTGTCTCGGGATGAAAGTCATGCACGTCATTTCGGTGGATATGTATTCTTAACCATTTTCCTGGAATATATTTTAAACCTCTTTATTACTCTTTTTATTCTTAGTGTTTGCTTATATGGTTTTATCATTTGTGCCATCAATCTCAGGTTGGACTTGATTATATCACTTCATATTAAAAGATGAAAATTAAAGCCTCTCTATCATTCAAAGAGGACAGGATTTTCTTGTTAAGCCACGAGGAAACTTTGGAACAAGTTGCCTTGTTTCTGTTATCCAGGTTGTCCATGCAGCCTTTGATATGAAATTCTGGGTTGAGACTGTTTTATAATACGGTACTGAGTTCCCATGTCCTGGACTCAGACATCAATAGACTGGCTAGTCCTGTTACAAAAGATGGGGTTTGGGCGCTTTGCAGAGAGGGAAATGCAGCCCCAGAAATCCATTAGGTAACACTTATATTGGAAGAAGACATCCCAAGAAGATTTCCATATGACATGATGGACTTTTGAAAAGTGTAATGTATAAATGCGGTACAATACATTGCGACAATTTGGGGGAAGGTTTTACCCTCCCCTTTCTGTGGCTTGTGGTGGTAGCCACAGCGCCATCTTCTGGTAAAGACAAGATGCACTTTTTTTTTTCATGCTGTGCCACCAACTTGATGTTTGTCCTGAGAATAACTAATTTCAAACCTTTATTTTTTTTTAAACATTCTTCTGGGCCTGAAATATAATCCCCTGTCTTAAAATGTGGTCCCCATGGTCAATCCCAGAGCTCCACAATGATTTGTCATGTTCCAGACTCCGTTTTCTAATGACTCTGCTATTTTTAATCTCAAAAGCTCGATAATTGGGCTTTTTTTTTTTTTTGAAACACAGAGCACTTGTTTTGCAGAATTAACAATTTAGAAATTCATCAGGACTATAGGTTTATAAATGCCCTCCTTTCCAGCCCTGGACATTAAGTGTTGGTAACACATTGGAAGTATTCATAATATGGAGAGTGAAAAATTCCTTCCTTCATTCCTTTCTCAGCTGTATCCAATACAATGGAAGCTATCCATTGGAAAGACAGTCTATACTGTTTGATCTCAAAAACAAATACCTAACAGTTCAATGCTGTCCCCCTTTAGTAACATCTGCATCTTGTTCAGAGAGAATCCCCGCCTTTGCAGAAATTTAATGACGAGCCCCTGGAAGAACAGGTCCACCCATCAATAATCCATGTCCTGTTTTGGTTTTCTTTGGGCATATTTAAAACTGTGCATTGTGTGTGTCAAAGTTCAGAAGTCAAGTGCTACATGTGATAAATTGGGTGGGGTCAGAAGTTATTGCCGTGCAGTTTCAGAAGATTGTCTGTCTCTGAATTTGCAGCTCATTCATGCTGAAGTGATGCACTATGGGAATTACTACCCAGCTCTGCTCTGCAACATCTGCTCTCCCTAAGTGAGTTAGTGCACGTCAGACATCTTTATGTCAGAATGCTGCAGTGATGGATGCAGTCTCCAGAAAATGCTGCATAAAAATCTGGTGTGCCGTTCTGGCCATTAAGTGAAATTACTATTTAAATTAATGGCACTGTCACAGTTTATCTGTGCAAAGAATGAACGCTGATTAGGGTATTAAGTAATTAGCAATTTATCACACTGGAACAAGGTTGATAATAATTAAAGAAGTAATGGTTTACCGAAGAAACTAGAAAGGGAGTCACTTCTTGTTATGTGAGTGAAATCTTTGGCTGAAAATTTTAATTCAGTGAAACAAAGATGAAGCTCTTTGTGAAAGGAAACATCCTTTTTTTTTTTTTTCCTTCTGGAAAAACAGTTCATTATCAAAATTTTAGTTGACCTGTCAAAAGTCCCTCAGAGCGATCAGATGACTGATTAGGAGTTTTGAATTAGGTCAGTGTCTGCATTTTGATTTTATACTTAAAGCATGGTGAAACCATAAAGTAATTTGGGAGTAGAGGGGAAGAATGAATTCTGTTCCCTAAAGGACTGGTTTTCAGATTTTGATTGCTCTTTAAAATAGAAACATGAATTATTTTAAGAAAACTGCTAGAGAAAAATAAAAATGACAGCACAGAATCCAAGGTTGTATTTAAATGATCAGAAAGCAGTAGGAAAAAAAAATGCCCAAACAATATAAAACCTGAAGCTGTGGATTTTTCTTTCTAATTTGTGTGTATGTGTGTGTGTGTGATTTTTACTCATCATAATCAAGACTCAGAGTACAGTGATAACCCTGTTATATTTATTTGAAAGAACTTTCCCTAGAAATGTTACAACTAAAATTATTAATAAAGTACCAAAGAAAAGAGTTTACTTTTAAACCAATTACTTTAAACAGTTACCACATTTAAACATGGAATGTTGAAATGCAGTTATAATCAATGTATATCGTTAATCATACATTTAAAATTTTTAAATATGGGGAGATATTTTTTAAAGTGGAAAGATCAGTAAGCGTTTTCTCTGGAGTCACGTGTGGATAAACATCCTTGGCATGTGCCAAGTCAGTGTCTACCCTCCGTGATTCTTAAAAAAACAAAAAGCACTTAAAACTCATTGGTCTGTCATTAGGAGGGTTTTCCATAATGTAGGTATTTGTACAGGACCCGATTAAACAATTCGGGACCCCAGGGCACTCTGAAGTTGAGGTTCTTTATGTTATCAGCCAGGACTAATAATAAATAAACAAAATTCTAATTAAAATAAATCATTCATCGCAATGTGCTGCTGTATAACTGGAAATAAATTCTAATCTGATAGCACTGTGACATGGGGTACAGGCACCTTAATTTCTAGCTTAATCTGACTCGAGAGTATTGTTTATTTATTCAGGCTTTTATGTCTAAATTTCTGCTGTTATCTCTTCTGAGGCAAGATCTAAATGATGTGCACACAGGCAGTTAAACTGAATCTGGTGGGAGGAAGGAGGCTGGTGTCTCAGCCTCCGTCTTTCACTGAGAAGTGGAGCGCAGTGAGCCACTCTGCAAGGTCTTTCTGCCACTGCCCCCAGCCTCCAACCCACGTCTAGTGATGGGTCTAGAATGCGGTGCAGCCCAAAAAATGGTGGTCGAATGGTTCACCTGATTGGTGAGATAGACTTTGAGTACAAATCTATCTCGTGATGAAAGAATGGCTACAGTTGCTGCTGGAGTCACAAGAAGTAAACATTTGTACCTGAGACAAAGCCGGCCAAAAACTTAACAAGATTCTTCCACCATGTCTCCAGTTCCAGGATGGGGCTTCGTCTCCACTGCCTGGCCTCTTAGCCCGGAGTGCTCAGGTGACCTTTTCTCCCTTGTGAATTTCTAGAGATTTCTTCTGGGTTTCTCCGGGTTAACACCTCCTTTTTCTACAACAAGATGTTATCATCACAAAATGGGCAGGTAATTCTCACGACAGGAATCCGACCATTTTTTATAGGAGCTTGGGAGAAGTTTGGCCCCGCTGAATGATTTTAGAGCACTTCCTCTTGTGTGTTCTTTACCTAATTAGTGCCTGATGCTCTTAGTAAGAGGGACCCCTCACGGCACATCTAAATCACCTTGGTTGGGAAATGCCACCTTAGGTATTATACCATTTCAGCTACTGCCCGAGTCTGACATTTTTACACCAAACTTTATAGCAGCCTCAGTTGTCTTCCCTTTTTTATTTCATATTCATATATAACATTTTATTGTTGCAGGGATGTTCTGTTGCGGGCAGGATTATGTGAATATGTCAGATACCATATGCTGTTCAGCTTCCAGTGGAGAGTCTAAAGCACATGTTAAAAAGAATGACCCAGTGCCAGTAAAATGCTGTGAGACTGAACTTATTCCAAAGAGCCAGAGATGCTGTAATGGAGTTGGATATAATCCTTTGAAATATGTTTGCTCTGACAAGATTTCAACTGGAATGATGATGAAGGTAATTGATAGAAAACCTCTCAGAGGCGCTGATTTGACAATGGCAAGAGAAATACATTGTTCATAACTATTTTTCTAAAATAGGAATATAAAAACTCCTGTGTGCATTATTCATTTTCACATTACATCCATATTAATACCAAATGAGTTCGCTATGATTGATGTTATTGCAATGAATTCTAAAGGAATTAATAATGATTAGCTGTTCTCAGGAAGCTTTAGCGGCGCTTGAGATTAGTGCAGACAGAATGTCTGGAGGCTGAGAGAGCCGGGCCGGGGCCGTGGATGGAGATGGAGGGAAATTCGGCTTCCTCCCTCCAGCCTCCCAGCCGTAGTCCCTCACTGTCCTTTATAGAGACCTTAGATCCAGCACGTTCACTGAGTAGTGCTTCTATCCAGATCAGCAAAAGCCAGCCAACCACAGGCGTGAACAGGCGTGTGCGGGCATGCTTTGTGTTTGTATGTTGAGATGCTTCATGTACAACCATGCCTTGCTTGTTAGCCTTAAACTTGACCCAGGACTCTGGAAACCCACGATTGTGAGGGGAGGATTATGGACATTTAAACCCCAAACATCCTCCTGTGTTTAGTAGTAATTTGTCCTAAGGAGATGACTAAGAATGGGTGTCTTAGTCACGGATAGTGGAAGGGCTCCTGCTGACCGAGGCGCCTGTACAGTCGATCTGTGGACATCATATACTTCGGGATGTAAGAAAGTCTTGAGATTCTTAGGGCCCCAGCGAGCATTTGGCTGCAATGAACATTAAGATGACACATAAAGCTGCTGAAAAGAATAGGTATTTCATGAAGTGAATAATCTTTGGCCTACACAATTTTTAAAAAAATTGATCTGACTTGCACACAACTTCAGTTAGCCAGTTCCGTGAAAGAAATCTATCCAACATAGGTTCCCAATGTTTAAATTCATTCCAGGCCAGTGTTTTCAGAAGTTGGGACGAGGACATGCTTCTTAAATGCATAGTACTTTTTGGTCTTCAAGAGCTGGTGGTGGTGCAAGAACGTGCCTTTAAAATAACAAGTTAGGAGGCATCGATGTAGGAGACCCTCCTGCAAAGGGCACTCATACTTGAACAATGAAGAGAGAAAGCCTGCTAGTTGTGAGTGATGGTGTCATTTCTGAAACTGTGTGTTTCATTCTTACCCACCACACATTTGATTCCCACGCATCTCATTTTGGTCGGGAAGACACAGCTTCCGTTACTCAGGGAGGATGTTCAAGATGTATCCATGATCTTTTGTGTTGGCTTGAACTGGTTTTATGAAGGCCAGTTAGCAGTTGTCCTTAAAATTCATATTTAAATTATGATGATTAGGAGAATATTTCTGAATGCTGGCTCGAGCAGTGTGTTACCGGTGGAGTTCAGCTTCCTGCAGAGCTGGTCCCTGGAGATTTCCAACTCCTGGTCCAGTTGGACTGGATCCCTCTGGGATTCCTGCACAGCTGTCCCAGCAGGTCTCCTCTAATCGGTCAGTTAGGGAGCTCCTGTCCCTCCTCCTCCGCGTTGGTCTCCCTGTGTTCTGGACCCCAGTTGTTCCTCTTTGCTGCCTTACCTCCTTTTGTAGAATTACCTCCCTGAGTACAGGTGCACGGAAGGTAAATTTTTTGAGAGTTTGATGTCTGAAATGATTGTTACTCCACCTTCCCATTGGGTCGATAGTTTGGCTAGACATACAATTCAAGGTTAAAAATGATTTCCACCCAGGATTTTGTGGCACTTCTGCATTTTTATACTTTCATTGCTACTCTGATTCCTGTTTCTTTGTAGGTTACCATGTTGTTTTTTCCTACGAAACTTTTTAAGACATTCTCTGTATCCTGCTTTTCCAGAATTTCATGACAGTGCGCCTCTATGTAGATGTTAGTAGCATCATGATTATTAATATTCATAACGATACACTTTTTGTGGATTTTTTCAGGGTGGAGCCTCATGGCCTTCAGCTCTGGGGATGCTGTTTTATTATTTCTTTGATAATTTGCTCCCTTTTTTATTTGTTATCATTTATCTGTGTTTCTGATCAGTTAGGTGTTGGACTTCCCAAACTGATCTTTTCATTGTTTGCTTCTTGTTTCTTGCTTATTAAGTCATCATTGTTTTCCATGTGATGAGATATCACCTTAACTTTATCTTTCCACCCTTCTGTTGATGTGATGGGGGGATTTTTTAGCTATTATATTTTTTTCAGTTTCCAGGGCTCTTTTTTTTTTGGCTGATTATTATTTATTTATAGCATCCTACTCGTGTTTCATTCATGGTATGTCTTTTTTTTTTATCCTTCTGGAAATAGTCCATTGTTGATTTTTTAACTGTTTGCTTGCTTTATTCATTGAATTGTCTCCTTTGTTTGGAGACTTTTAATTTTGTCTTTTAATTTTATTTTTTTCTTTGTTTAATTTTGCTTCTTCTGAATTCTTTTCTTGTATGTTTTTAAATCTCTTCTTTCCTTTGGAGGCTAATGGAGACGTCACTGCACATAAACGTCCATCAGTGGGGAGCACAGCTGGGTAGTCATGATGGCAAGATGGCTTTATGTCAAAGACTCACATTACCAAGAATCCTCAACAAGTGTATTTAACTATATCCTTAATACTCCATCCTGTGTCAGGATGGGGTACATGTGTGGCTGCCATACGGGAAATTCAGTGGAAAAGAAGGCTGAGGCTCTCACTGTGCAATGCACAGACTTTTATGTATTTTTCCCACTCTGCCTCCTGGTTTATACCTTTCAGTGGACCCTCTCTATTTTCTTTTTTAGTATCACCAGCTATTTTCTAAGCCTTTCTCATTTTATAATACTTCATCAGATGCATCTGTAACAACCCACACTTCCTGCTTGTGTTCTAGCTTCTGACCTCCTCCCCGAGAACTGGGAGTTCCAGAGCACTTGGCTTACTCTCACAGTTAGCCCTGGGCACAGGTTTACCGAATACTCAGCCACAGCCTAACAGAGCTCCTCGATGTCCCAAACCCCAGCATCTCTTTCTTTGCCACAGTTCGCTTAGCCACTGAGCCAGTGCCACATGTGTCAAGGGGTTGTTGCTACTGTTGTTCAGGCAACATCTAACCTCAAATCACTGCTGTATGTTTTTGCTAGAATGCACTGAACTATGCTGAGGTGAAAACAGATGTCCTCGTGTGTAGAACGGGTCAATAGGATGAATTTTTTAAAGCCTTTGACGTTATAGTCCGGTGTGCTTTTGGCAGCTCTTCTCTGAGCAACATCTCAGGAACCCGAGTCCCTTCCATCTTGTGGGGCTTCACGAGGGAAAAAAAGGATGGAATGAATAATTACACATTTACAGGTCATCCCTGGATGCAGAATACACCTCTTCTGCATCCTAGTCACACAGACATTTCTAGTCACGTGACTTCTCCTATCGTAACTGGACTTGAAATTTCCAGGGAGAAAAGGCAAAAATGGGCATACTGGGCACATAACATTGTCCCTGCCACATGCATCCACTCCCCAGCTTCCCATAAATGTATGTTAGCGCCCTTCTTGTTCCCTTGGACTTTTCTGTGTTCCTGTACTGTCATTCGGTTGGGCTTTAAGAGGAAATAAAGATAAATGCACATGTTCAATTCACCTTATTTAAATGGACTTTATTTTGACTACCATTGAGAGAGTATCTTAGATGAGAGAGATTAAAGGCAGATCCATTTTAAATAGCAAAGATTATTTTAAATAAGTCATGCTACCTATAGAAAGGGAAGACTGAAGTAGAGCTTTGCATTATAAGAATATGACCTTATTTGCATGTCCTGTAATTTGAGGTGATGGAATATTTCATCTTCTGAGATTATAACATGCTAGGACTTATGACTGTAACAAGTCTAGAGATTCACCAGAGAAGAACCTTATATATACACGCACATATATATATATATATGTATATATAATTATTATTATAATGACAGTTTATGAAATATTTAGATTTTCTGAAACTTGAATGTGGCGTACTTCTTATTGGTCCAACTTTCCCAAATCAATAATGTGCTCGTGGAGATTCCCACTTCCCAGCACAGAAAGTGCAGATTCTAAAATAGCACATTTTTTATTTTCTCTGAAGCTCCATTAGGAAAGTGTCAAAGTAACAATAATAAAATAATGACGACTGTTATTATTTATAGTCTATCTACTAAGCGTAAAGCATTTACGTGCTGTCTCGTTTGAGCCACAGGACAAACCCGTGTGGTAAACTGAATTTCCATTCCCTCCTGGAAGAAGCTGAGGCTTTGAGACTCTAAGAGACTTGCTCAAGGTCACAGCACTAGGAAGTTACAAACTGGATTTTGAATCCAAATCTGTGTCATTTGAAAGTAACCGCTCTTTCTAGCATACAGACTGCCTTCGTTTCTCTGTGTGCGTTTTGAGATGTTCGTTCATGAACTCAAAGGAAGAAAATTTCCTTTGAGAGTTGTACAAACCTATCTGACACGTGACTAAATGACATTTTGCAATGCCCTTCCCCACTCTCCCCGCCTCTTCCGCTTGACTCAGGAAACCGAAGCATGCGGGACCGTCTGCCCAGCATCCACGGAAGCCACAGCCCACTGCGGCAGGTGCGACTTCAACTCTACCAGCCACGTTTGTGCTGTGATAAGAGGGTCTAACAATTCCATCAGGAGGGAATCAATCGAAGACATATGCTCATCGGCTGAAGAGACTGTTCATACAGGAAGTGTCAACAAACTCTCCTTCACAGGTAATAGAAAGGGAGCTGCCTGCCCATGCCTTACAAGAGGGGGTGGTGAAAAGCTACTAAAAATGTAGATTTCTTTCCCTCTGATCTCATCTCTCCCTCCTTAACCTAATATCTGTTAAATCCATCATAGTTGTGGGTCAGCTGGTTACAGGTAATGAAAGGCACAATTTGGTTCTGTTAAAAGTTAGTAGTTTGAAGTTTTTCAAAGTCTAACTTTAAACAAGGATACATGCTATCTTAAAGCAAACCTATAGAGAAAAAAGAAGAGAGAAAGAAATTACTTTTGTGCCCTTTTATGGTCTATCCAGTTAATTTTCAGTAAGCCTAATTTTCTTTCTCAGAAGTTTGAGGGCAGATTTTCAATAAATGCCACGAATGTATGTTGTTCTTCTTGCAAGCAGAAAAGAGGTAGAAACCTGTCTGATCACTAAGACCTGGAAGCATCATTCCAAGGAAGAGATAGACTGCTCAGTGTAAAGCCAGTTTTCCTTTCCTGACCTTGGGTCTGGGTGCAGAGAATGTGTTCCCTCACAACCTGGTGTTCTCCCAGGAAGGCCACCAGCCTGGGAACAATAACCTTCATGGTTATTGAAAATATTAATTTCCAAGCCCCTTCTTGACCCTACTGCATTAGTCCAAGATAGCAGTTCTCAGGCTTGGCTGTGCACCGTAACGTGAGGCACGATGTGCAGGTAAGTCCTATGATAGGAGTAAGCAAAGCAGGCATAGGATGCGTTGGCAGCATGTTGAAGACACCTAGCCCAGCCTGGAGGGTGAGGAAGGACTTCAGAAAGGATACTGTGCCTGAGCTGAGAACTGAAGGACAAGCTAAGGGCAGGTAGACCAGGCATAGAGAACAGCATATGCAAAACTCAGGAAGCAAGAGGAAGCCCAGCAGGTTTGAAAAACAACAAGAGACTCGATATGGATGCAGCACATGTAAGAGGGAGAAGGTATGGGGGGAGGTTATAGCTCAGTGCTATAGTTGCCTGCTTAGCAGGCACAGGGTCCTGGGTTCAATCCCCAGTACCTCCATTGATAACAAACAAACAAATAAATAAACCTACCCCCCCCAAAAAAAAACGAGGGAGAAAATAACACAGATGAGGCCAAAGAGCAGGGGTCAGATTGCGAAGGACTTTTATGCCACACTGAAGAGTCTGTTCTTCATGGACACAGGAAATGAACTGTGATTATTGGAGGGAAAGGAGTAGAGAGGGATCAATTAGGAGTTTGGGATTAACAGACACACACTGCTATATATAAAATACACAACTAGAGACCTACTGTGCAGCACAGGGAACTATATTCAATGTCTTGTCAAGAGCCATAATGGAAAAGAAGCTGAAAATATACATATGTATGTATGTATATGTATGACTTAATCACTTTGCTGTACACCTGAAACTAACATTGTAAATCAACTACACTTCAATTTAAAAAAAAAACTTTTTCTTTATGAGTGGATATTAAACCTTTTAAAGCAATGCAATGACACAATTATATATGCATTTTTGAAGGATTACTCTGTCAACTAAATAAAAATGACTGAAGATAAATAGGTATGGGACATTTCAGCAATTAAGAAGTAAATATGGAACAAACGTACCCTCCAAAATCAAAACCCTTTGTTATCAGAATACTAGCCCCATGTAACAAATCAAATAATGTTGAGATAACAAGTTTTTTTTTTTTAAAAAAAAAGAAGAGTTGGAAATTCTGGCACAGGAAAAAAGAAAGAGCTCTGAGAAATGAGAGACAGAATTGAGGAAAGGCAAAATTTCAACACATGATTCCTTATATGTGAAGCGAAAAAGATGCCTTCATGGGCTGGGAACATCTTTGAATGACCAGGTTTCATAGGAAAATACAGAAACAAAGGTAAAAGGGAGAAGAATGAAATTCAGTGGAGGAAAGAACAGAAATGAAGTGTGGAGAGTTCCCACAATTGAATTTAGAAATGGCAACATGAACTTGAAAGGCACAGAATAACAGTTCTTCGCAATGAACAGTTTATCTGCTATAACAAGAGATTCAAATATATAGTTATGATTTGTGGGTAGGTGGATGGTCTGAGCAGCTCACCCCAACAAGGTCTTTCAGGATCCAGACTCCTCATCCTGCTTCCACGGGGTGCAAACTGAGTTACCACCACACCCTCATTCCAGCCCATCAGGAGGGGATAAGAATGCTAACGGAAGGCAAGTGATTTCCTCTTTACAACGTGATGCACAAGTTGCCCGTATCCCTTCCATTGTTGAGATCAGACATGTGACTACACCAAACTGCAAAGAAAACTAGCAAATGTAGAGTCTAGCCAAGAGATCTCTGACCAAGGCAGAGGGAGGATTTGGCGATCCACTGGTGGTCATGACAGGTACAAAGCAGCTGATACCCTCTGACTAGAGAAAATGAAGATTGATTACATTTGTATAGCAATTTACATTTTATGAAGTTCTGCAACATAAATGATTACATTTTATTTACATACTAATTCTATAAAATAGGCAGAGCAGGGTTTATTGTAAGGAGATGCATATAAGGAGAATATGGTTCAATAATCCAAGTGGATGGGACTGAGAATTGACCCTGCCTCCAGTGGAGATAAAGCAGATGGCCAGGCAGCCAGGGAGGACCTCTTCTGATGCTTCTGCCTGAGAAAGAGTCATCCAGAAACAGCCACACAAAAATACACATGTACATATTCAAAATTCACAGAATTAAGTCAGTGGAAAGCAGATTTAAATAATTAAATTTTCAAGGATTTTTTGGGTAAATTTGTAGCATTTGTACTTCTGAAGTAATTAAAGCTTAAAACTGAACTAAGATGTTTGGGACACTGTTGATCACATGGATGATTATCTAATAAAATTTTTGCCAGACCAGAAATCTCAGGCAGGTTGGTTTTGTTGTTTTAAATTAGATTGCTTGTTTTTGGTTTTAGTTTCAGTTCTGGTTTGGTGGAAGGTGGAAGAAAGTGTATCTAGTACAGTATACTTCATATATATAGTACAGTGTGAATTTATATTTATTCACTAAAATTTTACCATGAGAAGCTAAGTTTCAAGTCCTGTGTCTCATAACAACTACATTATAATTCTTACAATAATTGAATAAAGTCATATTGACAATGTAATAATTGGTAACATTTATAATAATGAAATTATAGAAGAATGTTGCCAAGCCTGCCTCTACAGCAGTAAAGAGATCGTGAACTTGGGCCGCATTAACATCTAATGTACGCCAGTCTCGTGCTTTTATTTTTCATTTATTTATTTAATGTGTCCATATTTCTCTCTTCAGAAAGATGAATTCTAGTCTGTGCAATTTCATATCTCTGCATCTAAGAAACAACGTTTCTACAACTTAGAAAGTAAAGATATTAGAGTTTTATTTACACACAATGAGATTAGGGCATTAAACATTTATTTTTAAATATTTAAGGTTTTGATAGTCATTTTCAATATGATGGTAAAAATAATAAAAATTAAAAAAAAAAAACCTCACTGTCTGATTTCTGTCTTTCCAGACGTAAACCTGGAGCCCTACACGACATATGAGTATAGGATTTCTGCTTGGAATAGCTATGGGCGAGGATTCAGCGAGGCCATTAGAGCCAGAACAAAAGAAGACGCTCCTCAGGGAGTGAGTCCCCCCAGGTGGACCAAAATGGATCATCTTGATGACGTAATAGTCTTAAACTGGAAGAAACCTATACAGTCAAATGGTATTAAGCTGTTTTTAAAATCGAAATAACATAATCCAGTAAATCCATAAGGAAATTGAAATTAGTGTAGTCTACATTTAACTGGCATGCATCTAACCACTAAAAGGAATTTGCCAGTAGAGGGAACTTTAGGTAGGTGCCAACTAATCATTCATTTTGTGAAATGGCCCTCACAAATTTTTAGCCAAAAAATTTTTTTTCTTGACTCCCAGCCTTTATATGAGCTTCTTTCAAACAAGCAAAGCATGTTAAAGGAAGGCAAACTATTTTGAAAGTAAATGTTTGATAATGAAAGGAAATAAACAGTCGACTCTGATTATTTCCATGAAGAATCTGTCTCCTCCATAAGGGCAAGTGTAATTAAGAACTGTTTGAACATAGCAATATAATAGTAAATTAAAATTAAGTAATGCTATATTATCCCATTCCTTCAGAACTCTAATTTGTTTGCAAATAGTTAATAGAACCTGACATTCAAGTTCAGGTGTTTCTCTGCCTCCTTAGGTCCTATTATTCACTACATTATTCTCCGAAATGGAATTGAACGTTTTCGAGGAACATCACTGAGCTTCTCTGATATGAAGGGAATTCAGCCTTTTCAAGAATATTCATACCAGCTAAAAGCTTGCACGATTGCTGGCTGTGCCACCAGCAGCGAGGTGAGAGGAGTTTGCTTTAAAGTCTGGACAAAATTATCCAGTGTTAAGATAATATGAAGGTCCAGATTGTGAGTAATTTTTTCCAGTGATAGAAAGCAGTGTCTGCACCAGTAAAGTGGGGCATTCATTAGACATCTCAACTGGGTACTAACACTTCTGCCAGAAAGGAGGGATCACTGGAAGGGAGATTTATTCACGTATCAGTGTTTCATTAATCAAAAGATAAAAAGAGAAAGGAAAACTTAAACCAGTATTACCCCTTAATCTCCTTTTCCTCCACCAGCTATTTTTAGATGTTCTGCTATAAATCCATAATAATTCCCAAACCATTTCTCAGTTTGAAAAGGTTTCTATTTAAACATCATTCCAACCCAACTGCCTACTCTTGAAAAACAGAGTAAAGGGCAAAGGAGCCTGACAGAAAATAAAACGGTTCTAAGCCTTCTGCAACAGCCTTGACAAAAAATAATGAGGATCTGAATTCATGCAACAAGAGGTCAGAATGGAGAATATCAGAAAGATACAAGAGATTCCAGGGGACAAAATGTACAGGACTCTGTCGTCAGCTGTAGGGGGATAAAAGGAAAGTATCATGGGTATTTTGAAGATACCTGGTTTGACCAGTCAATAGATCATGGCGCCATTCTGAAAGCAAATCAAACGAAAAACAAAAAAACAAACAAAAGAAGAAAGAAAGAAAAAGAAAAATTAAAAGTAAAGACTGATTAAGATTTTAGAAGCTTTAAAAAATATATTTAAGAGGAGGAGCAGAGAGCAGAATGGTGGAAGAAAATATTATTTGGCACTTTAAGTGGAAATGTCTAGTCAGAAGCTGGATTAAGATGTGACTGAAATTTGCTAGAAAGATCTACGAGGGAAGTTGAAGCAAGGAGCATGACTGTCGTCACATAGGGAGGAGAGAAAGACAGGAGACCCTAGATGATGAGTCGCCTTGGGGACACCAGCCTAGTCAGAGGAAACCCAGTTTTCATACAGTTAAAACTTGAGAAGAGCAGCATTTTCACACACGGGCCAAGAACCTTTGAAGGCAAACGTTCAGTGAGACTCAGCAGCCGCAGCGCAGGGAGCATCTTCTCGTTCAGAAGCATCTCTGAGCCCGCCACAGCCTAGCCAGACGGCAGCTGATTGGCCACATCCTAGCCAGACAGCAGCTGATGGGCCCAATGAAAAGTGATGGTCCAAGCGGTCCTAGAAGCATTCCGTGCTTTTGGCCGCGCCTGCGGGTGGGATGCCACACCAACCAGGAAAGAAGTGAAATCAGAGTTATTCTGTGAGAAAACAAATGCAGCCAATTTTCATCCAAAAATACATGTTTTGACAATGTTGAGCAGGTAACTAGTTGATTTATACTTTCTCTTTCTTTTTTTTCTACTCACTTGGCTCTCTTTCTAGAGCATTGGTGCTCTAAAGTCATCCTGGGTATCGTAGGGAGAGTGCAGAAAACGCTGCCCGTTTATACTGTTCATGGCACATTATATGCAAGCAAGTTCAGATGTGGGTTTTGCTCCAAATTTACCGGTGCTTAAAATGTACAAAATCAGGCTGTTAAAATGCAAAGACAGCGACGGGCCATATGGAAAAGAGTTATCAAGAGTTCTCTAGGACGACAGTCTGCCAGCCAGATTTTACTTGTTTAAACTGAGGGCTGCACTCTGCCGTCAGAATTGTGGCTGAGCCTGTGGTGATAAATGGTCGTCTGAAACTTATGTAATATATTCAAGGTCAGATTTCATTGTTTGAATAGGATGGGAGGGAAGGAATTAAAAAAAAAAAAAAAGGAGGACTACTTCTCCAAGCCCTGCTAATGATATGCCAGGCCAGACAACAACATTTTAAAACAAAAGTGACATTCTCATTGATCAGAATATGCAGTGTACTATCCCCTAAATTGCTGTTTAATTCTTGTGTTTTCAGGTAGTTGCAGCTACGACCCAAGGAGTTCCGCAGAGCATCCCTGCGCCAAGAATCATGGCCCCCAGTGCAGAGGCCCTGCATATGAGCTGGGATGTCCCTCCGAAGCCAAATGGCGTCATTAAAGAGTACCAGCTCAGGCAGGTTGGGAAAGGTCTCATCTACACTGACACCACTGACAGGAGGCAGCATACGGTCACAGGTGAGGAGGAAAAAAAGAGGAAAACCTACCGGAAGTGTCTGTCATTGTGCTTAGGGGGGCGAAGCATCCCAGGGGTGTGTGTTTGATATATGAGGTCACTTCTAAAGGACGTGTTCTCTTGACATATGGTCAGGTCCCACTTATCCGTGCTAATAGAAGAGCCCACACTGGCAGCAATAAGCCACAACAGCAGATAACTTCAGAAATAATTTATATTTGGCTTTGATATGCATTATGTGTAGGGTTTTTGCATCGGTATTAAGTTTTTTTTTTTTCCAGACAAACAGTAAGATGCATTTTCATTCCCCAAGGATATACTCAGATAATGGGACTAAGATAGCCAAGAACGTACTGGAGGGCAGGAGTAAAATCAGCCGGAGGCTAACGTTTTTCCACCGAGTGGGAAATTAATGCACAGAATAGTTGACAGTTGACTGGTTGTGACCATTTGTTATTATTATTACTAACATTAATTAATAGTAATTGTGTTATTTTTGTTGCTTATTAGGGCATTATATATTGTAATTAGCTTTAATAATATAATAATGGTTCAGTATAATAGTATATTGTCAGGTAATTACTAGCAGTGATTATAATAATAATTACAATGTTTTAGTTTGAATGTCACTTCTGAAGAGAAGTGTCTTCTGAGTTGCCTGGTCTAGAGCAACTTCTCTAATATACCATCACATCTCCTTCTTGTATTTTCATCACAGACCTCTTACTGCCTGATAGTGTTTGTTTTTTATTTATCTTTTTATGTCTCCTTCCACTGGAATGTAAGCTCCAGGTTCTCAGAGACCATCTCTAATTAGTTTAATACTGTAGCTTTAGCACCTAGAATAATCCGTGACATGTCAGTAGGGGCTAAAGAAATGTTTGAGGAATAAGTGAATTTAATATGGGTCAAATACAATCTGAAGCCCTTGTCATGTTGTATCTAATTTGAACCACATCACTAACCTGTGGGGTAGAGAGATTACCCCTGTTTTGCAGAAGAGACTGCTCTAAGAAATGAAGTAACTTAGTTCATTATTTAGAGCGGTTGAATCATTCAGAACGGTTGCATAAGTTTGTTTAGATTCTGAGAACCCAGGCAAGAGTTTCCACATGTTTACTTTTTCCCTATTGTCAGCAGCCTCCCTCCAAGGCCTCCTGAGTGAATGCCTTCCTTCCATTGGACCTTACACTTGGCAGGGGTGCGCTGATAGGAGAGATAATGAAACGCACATAGACGTGCAGAAAGGCCTGGAAAAATGTGCCTGATTTTTCCTTAGAGGAGGCACAAGCCCTACTACACAGGTGGAAAAATAAATTCATCGTGATTTGCTCGTAACTCCACAATTCCGTGGCACACAAGCAAGCGCTCACTGACAGATGTCCACTGTTTCCCAGAAGTGCGATAAGCCTGCAGAGGGTGCTTAGAAAATATTTGCGGACTCGCACATCACAATCCTTATCTGAAGATCCTGAGCTAAACCGGCGATAACGGGGATGGGGAAAGCCTTCATCTGTTTAGATTATCAGATGTGTTCCGTATGCCCTATTTCACTAAAATAGAACTATCCTATGTCACTAAAAATGAAAATCATCTCAAGTAATTGAAATGATGTTGTTTCACATAATGCAACATTTACATGGTGCTTTATCATTTTAAAGAACTATTTGCATTTTGACTGCTGTGATTCTCAGCACATTTCTATAAAATACGTGAGGGATGTTTTCAGTATCCACCTTTGAAAGATGAAGGTGAAAAGTGGTCCACTCAAGGGTGCCCTAGGCATTCACAGCCTCCATCTATAAGGAAATCAAAATACTGTTTCATTCTAAAATTAAATATGTGTGTGTGTGGCCTGCTTACTATGTTCTGGATAGTATATTAAATGCCCAAAAATCAAATTGCCGCTCTTAAGAAGCTCCCAGTAATAGGGAACACTGACAAGTTAAGGAATAATTTGTGTCATGATGCTTCAGCAGAACCCTATAGAGGATGGAGTAGGGGAAATCAAAGAATGACTTGGAGTGGCGGTGGAATGTTACAGAGTATTGAAAGCCAAGTTAAGGAACATTACGACTTTGTAGCAATAAAGGTTTCACAATAAACCGGGATGCAATGATAAAGAATTCTCTTCTTCCAGAATCTGTCTACTCAACCAGCTCTGGGCTTTGAACTGTCGCCAGCTGCACTGGTCTGCATTTTTTAGAAACCAGCATTCACATGAATACAGACAAAATTTCAGTTGTGATATTCAGACCAGCAGAATTGATAGCCTCCTTAATTACATACAATAATTGCAAAGATTTTTCTTTAAAACCTTCATTCCACCAGCTCTTTCTCATATGATCATTTTTAATGGATATTTTCATGTCAGAGAAGATTTCATACACATAATTTAATGTCAGAATTCCTCTTCTATTAGAATAAATACTTTTAAAGTTTCTCCACCTGATTTTACTTTTTGTAAGATTAGAAAATGGAAAAAAAAATCTGTTGGAATTCCTTTGGTCCATCCCTCTACATTATTTTAAACAGACTTAGAGAGTATTTCACTCGGGCAGTACAGCCCTAAAAAGAGATTTTTTTTGTTACATAAGAAAATAAACCCTCACTCAACAAAACCTTACCAAGTACAGCCTCCGCTGTGCAGTCCCTGTGGGGCAGGAATGGTATTTGGCATTAAATAATCTAAAATCTGAGATCTGTGTAGTGTTCATGCATTTTATCTGCCTGGGAAAATTCAGTTCCATGGTTAGCTGACTGACCAAATTCAGTACAGAAGTATTTTATGATGTGAATGATTGTTTTATTGAGTTCATGAAATGAACTAAAATAATCAAATTTATTTCACATTCCATCTCCAGTGTTTGTTCAGAGAGCTGCCTACACCTCTGGGGATAAAGGTTGTGATTTTCTCATCATTTCCGAAACCTTGGCCGTCCCTAAGTCACAGTCCAACACTAATGAAGCTGTGGCACTAGTCATGCTGGAGCCTGGAAATCTAGGTCCTTTGAAATGACAGCAGGGAAAGCGAGCCCCTAGCATCAGCCCCATGGTCTCCGTGCTTATTTTTAATTACCTCAAAGCTTTAGAAACATGATCCCGTAAATGCTTTGTGGGAATAGTGGCAAATGCACTCATCATGTGAAATCCATAAATTGCTTATAATCCTCTCAAGATGTTAAAAAAAAAGCATTAAGTAATTGAAGACAGGAAGTCCTCCGTTAATTATTTAGAGGTGTTATCAATGCTTTAAGTAAACTGAAGCGTTTTCTGCTATCTCACCGAGCTCAGTACCATGGGGACCGAAGGGGTAGCAGCCTTCATCTTCTCATATTCGCTAATGCAAACAGCGCGTGGCAGCTTGCCAATGAAAGACCTTTTCCTATCATTTATGACTGAACATGTCCACGGTCCTGCACGGAACAATCGGGATGTCAGTTATGGCATGGTTTCGCTTTGGGTTACCATTCTTCATCTGTGGACCTCCTAACGTGGGCATCGGGGCAGAGGAGAGAGAGAAAGGATTAACTAAATAATTAGGGCCACTGAGAACAAAATGAATTAATCATGTCCTCTTTAGCAGCAGACATGATAAGGGCTTATGTGTCTCTTAACTCTGGGGGAAATGTTTTCAAAATAATTCATTAAAAGTTGCTCATCGTTTTATTTCCCTTAAAGGGGAAGAGTCACCAGTGTGAAGTTAGCAAGGAGAGAATAATTTGCCTTCCTTTTTTGTCCTGTTAGAAGCTCACTAAAACCACCTATGATAAAATAGCATAAACCCTAACAAGGCTGGTTGTTACAGAAAATGTTCTACTAACGTACGGAGACGGATATCCTGCACATCACTTTTGAAAAAAAGAGAATATAGTTTGACCATCAATATCACAAAATGTGAACGTTTTTATAAGGGCATTTTATATTTAGATCACTCTACCATGTGCTCCCATAATATCCTACCCATCGCTCTCATGGTATTTATTATACTTTATTGAATACCCTTTTTCTTGTCTCTGTTCCTCAACCGCAAGTTAAAGCTTTTAAGAGACAGAAGCAACAGCCTCTGTTTGCCACTGTGCTACCTGAGCTGTGGTCTGTCACAGCACCTGACATATATGAAGTGTTTGAACATCCTTCTTGAATGAATAAATGTTGAGTAGTCAACTAATATCTGAATGACAGCATTCCATATGGGTTGGATATAAAAATCACACTGTCAGACACCTTTAAATCGCAGGCAGGAGGGGTAGGTACAGCTCAGTGGTAGAGCGTGTGCTTAGCATACACAAGGTCCTGCATTCAATCCCCAGTACCTCCATTAAAAACAAATTTGAAAACCCAAATTACCTCCCCCTCAAATTAAAAAATAAGTAAAACTTAAAATGCATACATACATATATACATACATACATACATACATAAATCGCAGGCAGGATGGACTGTGTCATTTGCGGGGCCCAGTGCAGAATGAAAGCGTTGGGCCCCTTGTTCAAAAATCATTAAGAATTTCAAGATGGTGAAAATTGGCTCAAGCACCGGACCCTTCCAAGCGTGGGAGCTGGAGTGACTGCACAGTTTGCCTGCCCTTGAAGCCAGCCCGGGTCTCCAGCAATCTGGATTTATTGGCAGGATAATTCTTTAACTGAAACAGATCACATGAAAACTAGAATGGCCATTGTTTCTTCAAAAATAACTTCAGGAGCCTCTGTCTTGTGTGTGTGATACTCTGAGCTGCATTTTCCCCGCCTACGACCTGACCTCTGACCACCAAGCATCAGACCTGTGCAGGTAGAGATGAGAATTCATTTTATTTTCATTTTGCAAATTCTGAGGAAGACTTTGGGCCTGAACACTTGCAAAAAAACAAAAAAACAAAAAACAAAAAAACACAGTTTCAACCACAATTTCTTCCTTTCTTTTACCATTATTATATATATAATATTTTAGCCAAAGAATTACATGCAACGGCTGCCTAGACACCAATATATAAAAGGAAAAA